TCAAATGCTGCTGTGTGAACTTTTCATTTGCATTTAAAAACAGTCCGGGAAAAATGTTTCTTGTTATGAAAAATTATTCATGTTCCTGGTCTTATTGTTAATCATCCAAGAGTAACTATTATTTAAAATAAAATAAAAAACGAACAAAAATACTTCCTTTTTGGAAAACATCACCAATCTATAATTTTTTTCCAACCACTGCCATCCATTATATATCAAAAAAAAAAAATCTGAAATATACCCGACTGAGGAAGTGCTCAGTAATTGCTTTTTCTGTCAGTCCATCAAATGCTAATAAACAGCAATGGCAAACAACACAATGCAGGAATGTTTCCATGGGAGAAAAGATCTTTGTGTGCTCTAATCTGTAAGGTCACAAGACAGATCTCCTCCAAAAGTAAATAATGCCATGTAGATTAATACTGTGAACAGGACATTTAGTAGGTCAGCATCCAGGATTATTAATTCTAACACCACAAACAACGAGACATTCAGCATTTACCTTCTGAAAACATTGACCTGTCAGCTGTCCACATTTGATTAGAGGGCTGTTGTGATATCATTTGTGACCCTGCACCACAAAACCAGTCTTAAGTCGCTTGGGTATATTTGTAGCAATAGCCAAAAATACATTGTATGGGTCAAAATTATTTAGTTTTCTTTTATGCCAAAAATCATTAGGATATTAAGTAAAGATCATGTTCCAAGAAAATATTTTGTAAATTTCCTACTGTAAATATATCAAAACTTAATTTTTGATTAGTAATATGCATTGCTAAGGACTTCATTTGGACAACTTTAAAGGTGATTTTAAAGGCACCTTCAGATTCCAGATTTTCAAATAGTTGTATCTCTGCCAAATATTGTCCTTTCCTAACAAATACCATACATCAATTGAAAGCTAATTTATTCAGATGATGTATAAATCTCAATTTAAGAAAATTGACACTTATGACTGGTTTTGTGGTCCAGGGTCACATTTAGCAATAAATAATGACAAGGGTACGTCCACAAACATTAGACCATAGCACGCTGAGCTCGGTTCATGAAACAAACAGCACACACATCTGCGTATAAGATTCATAAAACTATCAACTTTTTTTTTTTTAAAGTCTTAAAATTCTGCTGGTAATACAAAATTTAAAGCAAATGTTTAAAG